ACGTTTTGTCAGCACGAACATCTTTAGTCAGAAAGTTATCTCGATAAAAACATGAATTTACAGAAAATACCTTTTAAACTGCTCATAAAAACTAAAGTGGTTCAAGCTTTCTTAAATCAGACATTTGATAGAGATCCTAACCAATCACGGTCTGTTGGTACAGACCAGCAGCAACAGCCTGAAAGCACGACCACTTTGTTTTTTTAATATTTTGGTTCCATGTTTTTTATGTTTGTTGAAGGATGAAAGTTTCAGATCGTCTGCATTTCCTCACAATATGACCTAAAACATCAGGAGGGGCTCTAATGGAGGATGCACAGGTGTCATTTCTTTAGAGGAAGTGTGACAGCTGAAATAGCTCGAGAACACAAACCTTGGTCGGAGGGGGAACACTACGACCGTTTCAGAACAACGGGAAAAAATAATCAAAGTGAAAACAGAATCGGAATTTTTTTTCCTGTCACTGACATGACGGCGAGAAACGCTGCAGCTGGACTCTCGTGGAAGTAAATCTGGAACCCCTACTCTGTGCTGAAGTTAATTTGCTCCCATTGAAAAGGCAGAAGCCTCAAACATTACTGAGGTCAAAGGTCACAGAACAGACACCACGACCCCGAGGATGACGATGGCTGGTGGATGTTATATAAAGTCGTCGCTCTCACTGCTGCTCTCCGAGTTCCTGTACCAGTCATCTTCACCCGTGTTCTCCACAAACCACTGACCTGACAACCAAAAAATAAAACAGGGTAAAAACATTAAATCCTGTTTCTAAAAAAGCTGAAGAGCTGCAACACTGAAGGGAAATAAATAAAAACACAATTCAATGATTCAAAAATCAGTTTAAAAAAACCCCACCAGTACAAAGACAACGCATCAAACATCACAAACGCAGAAATTCTCTGGATGATAGAAAATATCTGTTCGTTTTACATGTTGCATCACAGTAGTGCCGCACACAGCAAGACACCCGTCACCCTGAATGGGACCAGTGGAAGAAGATCGATGGACTTCGCTTCACTCAGTCTGAACCATGCAGAGAAACGTGTTCCTGAACATTTAAGGTCTGCAGCCTGGCCTGTGCACACGTTTCTCTGCATTATATCAATATTTCCATTTTTATTGTGAAAACCAATGATCTTTTGCATTTTGACACCGACAACGTTTCCATAAACTGTTCGACTTCTCGTCTGTGAGGGCGAAACAGCCGGGAGTCGTGGCAGTGCGGGGGCGGAGCACCGAGGTGAAAGGCAAAGCTTTCCATTTCCAATCCACCAACTTCACAACCATCGCTGCTTCTGCTTTGAACATTGCGTTTCTCCAGACCTCTGATGTCCTCATCCAAACTATTTAGAAAGGTTTTAAATATTGGGCTTACGTGATTTGCAAATCATTCTGTTTTTGTGCACATTATCCAGAATCCCTAACATCAGCGTTTCACGTTCTCAGATTCCATCAATAACAGTCACATTTAGACTTCGTTGGGCTTTCAGGATCTTACCATTTGGCACTCCGTCCTCTTCCTCACCCTCAAAGTGCTCCATGTCATAACTCACAAATATATTCTAGGACAAGAAATATCCTATTAGTATTGCTGCTTTTCATAACAAGGGGCAATTACTGCTTTTACTATATTTCCTTACAGTTAACGTGAAGATAATCCTATATTTCTTCTGTAAATCAAAGAAAACTAAATCAGTACCTTGTTTCTGAGGAGTTTGTCCCAGATTCCCGGCTGCTGCTTGACCAGTTTGAGAACTGGTTCATTGGATTTCATTTCCCAGCAGCAAACGTCAGCTGCGATTTCGTAGCGAAGCTCCAGGTCAGCTCTGTAGAACCGACCGTTCACGCTGCCACTGAACACAATCAGCAAAGAGAGAGCAATCAGCAAAGGACCAGTTCTTCTGTGTAGTCATCTATTGTAGTAAATACAGTAGGACTGTCCCCAGAGGACCGCCCTCTGCTGTGAGGGACAGAGTACGTCTGATTTTATAGGGAGGTGGTGGTGAGATAAACAGGGCGCGAAGGATTTTACAGAAGACGCAGGACTCGACTGGGAGCCAGAGGAGGTGCAGCGTCCAGGACTGAACGAGGCTTCAGCGGCTGGAGTCTGTTTTAGAGAGGATTTAATGTGTGATGACTGAGAGGGTGGAGTCGTGGATGAATTCCATGTTGTGGACCTCTGAAGTCACAACCAGGGAGGCCAGAGTAGTTACACAAGCAGTTAAAGACGGACTAAGGAGACTGAAAAACTCCTGAAAGGTCCCAGAGGAGGAGGATGCTGCTGATGTGTCCCCAGTCTGCAGCAGTGAGGTCATTTGTTGTATTTATGAGGGCCATGTCAGTTTTTTTGAGAATGGAGGAGACGGCAGCTGTTTGAGAACTGCCAGGATGGGTCCTAAGGATTTACTGATGATGGAAACACGATGACACAGGGGGGGCAAGACCTGACCGAGGCGCTCAGCCTGTGATCCAGAGGACAGGTGGAGCGACTTTAATGACCGGCTAAGTAACTTCAAGATGATGGGATGAGAGTGGGCAGGACTTTGTTGTTTTGTGAGAGTTTAATGCGTTTTCATCTACACATGTAAGCTGCTCTCAGGCGCTTTGTGTAAAACAGAGCCTGATGACAGCTTTCTTTGCACAGAGCTTAGATTGCATGTTCTTTTCTTACTTATCCAAATGTTTTTTTAACCGAGACAACAAGCATATCCTACTGCAAACAAACTACCTGCGTTCATTAGGAGGTAGTTTCACATTCAGTCCAGCACCTACCGCTGTTTCCACAACTTGGTGTTAAAAACACCGCTGCAGCTCTACAGAAATGTCTTTTTTGGTTGTGTATATACGAGAACGACATTTCCTGTGCTGTGTCGTCTGAAACCTTCTGACAGATGCTTGGTGGAAAATGTCTGTTTTTTCGTCCTTTGAATCATAAGAATACAAACCTCTCCATCTGCTCAGCTGGCTTCTTATCAGTGCTTCTTTGTCCAAAACCACCCTCACTCTCTGACTGGGAGTTCTGATCACACACTGGGACCAGGTGGTCTGTAGGTGCTGGGACCAGGGACTGGTTTCCTGACCTCATTGGCTCTAGTGGAGAAAGGTCTGGAGCCTTGAGGTTGTTGGCCAGAACTTCTTCCTCAGCTGTAATCCTGACATCCTTCAGAGATGTAATATTATCTCCAAGCCTGAAAAAATCCACAAACACCTGCTACTTTAGTCTTCTTTTAAGAAAATTGGCTGATCAGACCTCGAGTGAATACTTTGGTTGTCCCTTCACCTGGACATGTGACCTTCATCCTTGCTGCTGCTGTTCTCCTCACACAGCGCCCTCAGCAGGTCCACATGCTCCGGGTTCCTGATTCCCATCCGGGTCTTCAGGATCTCCGCCTGGACGTTGTATTCATTGATGACAGTTTTCATTCCTGGAATCTGGGTGACCCGAACCTTCAAGGAAGAAAACAAAAAGGGAATCCCGACACAACTGGCGGTGCTAAAAACCAGTCCAGCTCAAGTAGGACACACTTAAAAACTGAGACTTTTTAAGCTTTGTAAACCGTAAATATTAACAGCTTTGTACAGATGGCTGTATGGAGAGATGTTTTAAAATGTAAAACATCACCATTGGATCAACAAAAACTGTGTTTCCCAGGCTGAGAACTACTCTAGCTCGATGCTGAAGTCCGCGGATCTTCTGGCTGATGGCTCTGGTAACCTGCAGGCGCAAAACAAATAGAAAATTAAACACACTCTTTTTCCCTTGTCCCGTTCTTAAGATGGAAAGAGAACCTCTGGTGAAGAATGTCTATCTACCAGAAGTAAAGTCAGAGAATGCATGAATTATTGCCTCCAGATCTCAGAGGAACATTTAGCAGTTTAGCTGTTTGTTTTGGTCAAGGCTGCCATCTCCCTTATT